AGCCTACACAAATACATCTAGTCCTAGAGTGGCCTATAATGTCTATAAAGCTGTATATGCTGTTGCTCATTCACTACACAACCTCCTTCTTTGTCAACCAAGCAGTGGACCTTTTGAAAACAAGTCATGTGCTCAAAGTGACAATATATTTCCCTGGCAGGTATAATAAAACATTTGTCTTTTTTAAAGTCACATTTCAAACGCTGACAGTATATTAAATTTTTTTACTACATTTATTGGTACAATGCAACAAATATTCAAGCTCCAGCACTACCTCCAAGAAGTGAAATTTATCATTGCTGGGGACGAAGTCAACTTTGACCTGAAGGGAGACTCCATCCCATATTATGACATCATCAACTGGCAGAAAAGTTCCAGYGGGAACATTGAATTTGTCAACGTGGGKTTGTTCGATGGAACTAAGCCTGCTGGAAAGGAGCTGGTGATCCAGGAGGACAAAATAATGTGGGCAGGGCATCAGAGTGAGGCAAGCTGCTCACACTATGTTTTTACCTTCATCAGATGCCAACTGTTGAAGTTCTGTAGGTTAAGATGGAGGTAAGTCAGGTGGGATGAGGAAGAATGGAATTGACGTGAGGCCCTTTGGACTGATAAAATAAATGAACACAAAAGAACAGTATTTTTTGTTACTATTATTTCTGTCATTTTGCTCAAGTCAGACCTCTTCTAAAATCATACATTTCTTTAGGTGCCAGTCTCTGTATGCAGTCCCAGCTGTCCTCCAGGGTCCAGGAAAGCTGTCCGTCATGGGGAGCCTGTCTGCTGCTTTGACTGTGTACTATGTGACAGCGGCAAAATTAGCAATCAGACAAGTGAGACTAAAAATCAGCACACATCCAGTTTATTACACAAATTTTGTGCTTAATGTACTTCCTCTTTTCTCCCTTTCTATAGATTCAATAGATTGTAAGTTTTGCCCTGATGATTTCTGGTCAAGCCAAGACAGAACTGCCTGCATCCCAAAGAGGGTGGAGTTCTTGACCTATGACTCCTTGGGTATTGCCCTGACAGTGATCTCTGTAGTGGGTGCTTGTCTGACCATAGGTGTTTTAGTTGTGTTCTTCTACCACAAAAACACACCAATTGTCCGTGTGAATAACTCAGAACTCAGCTTCTTTATTCTGTTGTCCTTGACATTGTGTTTCCTATGTTCTCTTGTTTTCATTGGAGAGCCAACGTTTTGGTCCTGCATGCTTCGTCACACTGCCTTTAGCATCACATTTTCACTTTGCATCTCCTGCATCCTGGGAAAGACTCTTGTGGTGTTGGCTGCTTCCACGGCTACCAGGCCAGGGGACAACATTATGAGGTGGTTTGGACCCAATCAGCAGCGAGCTATCATCTTTAGCTGCACTCTTATCCAGATGGTAAKCTGTGCTGCCTGGCTTATTGATGCTCCACCTTATCCATCTAGAAACACCAAATATGAACGCTCAAAGATTATTCTAGAATGCAGCGTTGGATCTAGCTTTGCATTTTGGTGTGTGTTAGGTTATATTGGTCTGCAGGCATGTCTCTGCTTTGTACTAGCGTTTCTGGCTCGAAAGTTGCCCGGCAACTTCAATGAGGCTAAGTTTATCACATTTAGCATGTTGATCTGCGCTGTGTGGCTGGCATTTATACCTGCCTACTTAAGCTCTCCTGGAAACTATGCAGATGCAGTGGAGTCATTTGCCATTTTGGCCTCCAGCTTTGGCTTGTTGTTCTGCCTGTTTGCTCCAAAGTGTTACATTATTTTACTCAAGCCAGAAAAAAATACAAAACAACATCTAATGGGAAAGGAAAAGACATAACACATTACATCTTGTTTAAAAAAATGACATTTATAATAATTCATTAWTATTTTATATAGTCAATTTCAAATATTATTTTGTTGTATTTTTTCCATGTAAATTATAAATTACTTTACAATGTGTTTTGGTTTTGTAAAATTAGCAATGCAGCACAATACTTTAATAAGGTACAAAAAATGTATCCAAACACAGGTGTGTCACGCTGTGGGTGTTGTCCCAAGATATTAAACAATTATGTATACCTATATTGTTTATTAATGCCTCATATTCTGGTGCTTTTTCACATTACATACATTTCCAATAATTTCTGACATTGTATGATGTTATAGAAAGTAATTCCAAAACATTTAGTGAGAACTTGCAATATGTCACATGACAATTTATAAAGTTTGAAGAAAATGGTTATAACTCCATCACTTCTGGTCATAAGATGATCTCAGTTTAAAACTTTGGGATGGCAGACAGTGGGTAAAATGCATTCTTTCAAGAAATTCTTGAGCTTATCTATTTTGAAACATCAACATTTTCATTTTGATTTGCAATGTAAGCTCAGGGATGTTGTTTATACTGTAGGTACATACAATGAAGTAGGTTAGTGTTCTCTAACCCAGGGAAAAATGCTTGCAAGCCTTTCTTTATGTTATGTTTAAGCTTTGCTTTTTAAGGTGCCTATGAGACGTTTTGTAACCAGAACTTTTTCATGCAGATTTTCTTTGCACAAAAATAAGAAAAACAAAGTTTTGTCCATAATTTTTTTATTTATTGCTGTCCAGTTTCACAACAAAATGTAGTTTAGGTTGTAATAAGGTTTCTTTTAAAATTCCTATATATTTTGTAGCATTTGGATCCTATTTTCATCACTATAGTGTCCATCGTTCTTCACATGCATAGACAATACAGAGCAATCTATTTATAAAAAAACTTTAAAATAAATAAAAAAAAAACATAAATCCAGTCTATAAACAGGCCAAGTTCATCACTTTACAAATAATGAGAGCACCTTCCTAAAAGCTTACAT